ATGTATGTATGTATATATTTTAAGTTTCCCACCTTTCTCCCATTATGAAAGTAAATTATGATAAAATCTTCTTAGAGGGCAATTTGACAATATGTATCAAAATTTTAAATGTTTTTGCCCTTTTTTTGAACCAGCAGTATTCCTCTTTTGGACATTTAAAGATATGTGCAAAGATTCAGATACAAATATTCATTATAGTATTAGAAATAGCAAACATTCTAATATCCAAGGTACATCCATTCCATGGAATTCGATGCAGCCATTAATGACTTAAAAAGGATTCATGATAAATTGAATAAAAAACAGACTGTATGGTGTAATTTCACATGTCAAGAAAAAAAGTTCATGAATTTGAAAAGACCGTTGAAAGAATATGCTAAACAGTTATCTTTTGGTAAAGGCATTACAGGGGAGTCTTATACTTTCTATTTCATATATTTCAGTAATTTAATATCTATAAGCATGTGGTATCTTTAAAATTAACAAAAATAGTAAGATGAATTTTTGAACTAAGAAGAGTAAAACGTTTTCATGTTTAAGTTACAGAGAGATGTTAAAAACGAAATCTAGGCAGTCATGCTTTCTTTTCAGTACTGTTGCAATAAGTACCCTTCATTCTTGGTAATGAAAGAGCTATCAAAAATCAGTATTTCTCAGTGTAAATTTTCATAATATTCAAGAGTAAATGCTAGCCCTGGGTATTCTTTCAAGTCAATAGTTGACCGCTGTGTGTTCTACAAAGAGTTTTATAGAATTAGATTCAGCAGTCGTAGTGACAGGGTGCTTGCACTTACGGAATGTTCAGTTAAGTGTGAAAATCAGGTGACCTAACTCTAGGTCTTGGCAGAAGTTTAGGGTTTGGATTATTACAAAAGTTTATGTGAGGACACAGCTTAGGTATGGTAACAACAGGGTAGAAATGAGAGTGACATATGGGAAAGTCAGTGAAGACATCAGTGTGCTTTGAAGTTGGGTGAAGTATAGAGTTAAGGAAAAAAATATATAAGGCTGAGTCTTGGTAAAGTGGTACTGATTGATGTGTTACTTTTGAACATCATGTTGAGAAAGTTAGATTTGTTCCTATACTATAAGGGAACCATTCAGACTCTTAAAATAGGGGCAATTTAAAATACTAAGTTTTCAAATTGATCTTTTCGAGATAATATTTAGTAACATAAATGTTTTGATCTTAGCTTTGGTAGCTACAAATGAAAATTGACCAGATGAATTTCATAGCTATGTAGAGAATGAGGTATTGTAGAATTTACTTTTACAAGTAGTGACATAGATTATCTTTATGTGTCTTTTATAATTATTGTGTTTTTATTATAAAGCTATATAAATTTAAGCACTTTGTTACTAGCACAGGAGAAAACAAATTAGTAAAACCAAAATAGAGAGTCCAGAAGTGAAACCAAACACATGTAAGAATTAAGTGTTGACAAACAGGGCATTTCAAAATCAGTGGGAAAAGACAAGTTGTTTGACAAATGTTGTTAAAATTACTGGTTAATCATTTAATAAAAAGAAATTTAGATTCCTTACCTTACTCCTTATTCCAGAATAATTTCAGGTGGATCACAAATTTAAGCTAAAGATGAAACCACAGAAATATAAGCAGAAAAAAAGATGGAGTGAATTTTTTATAATCAAAATAAAAAAACTTCAATTTGGAAGAAAAAATATTTTTAACACATATAACAAAAGATTAAATTCCATAATATTTAGAGAATTGCTACAAATCCACCCCCACCCCCCACCCACAGGGTATACGCAATAAAAAAATAGCAGAAAACATTAATAGCTAGTTCATCAGGGAAAAACAGTAAATTTTCACCTACCAGATTGGCAATAATTAGAAGTTCAGTAATACTTAGTGTGGACGGGTGTGGGGAAACAGATACTCTTTGTAAATGGTGAATGAGAGTGTGTATTGGTTCCATTATTTGTAGGATTGTCATCTCTAGGAACTTAGATTCATGTGGGAAGACTGTATTTTATACCCTTCTGTACAGTATTTTTTTTTTTTTCAGTCATGTTCATTACTTCTGTAAGGGATCGTTACTGACAAAAAGTATTGTGTTAATAATTATAGGCAAAGTTACAAGAGTCCATTGAATATGAAGACTTGGGAAAAAATAATTCCATAAAAACGATTGCACTAAACCTCAAGAAGTCAGATAGGTAAGTTTGGATTAACTTGATGTGGAATAGTTATGTAACAATTCAGTGCAGAATATATTCTGCAAATAGTGTTTGAGTTTTGATACATTTATTACCATAAAATTACATTTTTTCTTAAAAATTTGTTTTGTGGACCTCAGGCAAGCATCCTAAATGATCAAAGTCAAGAAGATAAAATTTGAATCTCAGTGCTCTTTTGGGAATTAAATTATTTTATTGAAATATTTTTAATTACAGGATTGTGTTTTGCTTTGGGGGGACACTGTATTCACTACTAAAATGTTTGAAAGGCAAATGTTTAGCACCTTCGCTCTGTGTGATTAGTCATTTCTTTCTTCTCTGCTGACTTTCAGGTATTATCATGGTCCAACTCCAATCCAGTCACTACAGTATGCAACAAGTCAGGACATTATTAATTCTTTTCAAAGTATTAGGCAAGAAATGGAAGCTTACACGCCCAAATTAACTCAGGTAGGTGGCATGTACTATTTGAATTCCATAGTTCCTTTTTCAGTTTATGAGTACAACCAGATGGAACTATATGACTGATACCTTAATTGGGTTTAAATACGTATTTCTGCTAAATAAATTATTCTCAGTTTTAAAAACAGAGGTAGGGAGAAGAGGTGTGTTTGGTCATACCTAAGAAGTATCTGAAGATGAGATGGTAATTTAAAAAAGTAATGAGTTTTATAGTTGCTAATTTTTTCCTTCCATATAGAGTTTTATTGGAAAAGTCTCCCATTTTTCTGAGTTCCTTCTGGACATCACTCTGGATGTTCTGCATGACTTCAAACTCAGAATATTTAAAACAAAACTGATTGCTCTCCTTTATTTTTCCCTGACCTTATTCATGCTTCAGTTGATCAGCAAGTTCTGTCAGTTCTTTCTTCAGTGTTTCTTGATTCCATCACCTTGGTTTAGGCAAACCAGATCCATTTTCCACACTGCCACAGCGAGTTATCTTTCTAAAAACATTTATCTGATTTCATCACTCTACGGCTTAAAAACCTTCACTGCCTCCCTTCATTGCCATAGTTAATAGTCCGGACACCGTAGTCTAGTACTCAAGACCATATACAATCTGGCCCTAGCCCACTTCTCCAGTTTCAATTCCAGCCATAGTTCTTACCTCTCCCTTCCACACAAAGCCAGCACTCCTGTACTCTAGCCTAACACATTAGCTACCCAAATTTTTTTAATCACATCGTCTGTTTCATGCGTCCTATTGTTTTGCTCATTCCTCTTTGCTAGAATGGGCTGAGCCCTGTTTCTGCCCCTGGGAGCTACTACTAATTGTTCATTACTCAGCTCAAATTTCATTGCCTCTGTTTAGCAATCCTCAACATGCCCAGGGAGGAGTTCAGTTTTTTTTGTTTTTGTCTCTTTTCATAAGCACTGAGGCACTGAGTATATAACTGTATTGAGGTGCTTATCACTTTTTAGTTTGAAATAATCTTAGATTCACAAAAAGTTACAAAAATATGTTTTTCTGACCCATTTTCAGAGTAGGTTACAGACATAATACTCTTTTACCTCTAAATATTTCAAGATATTCCCATGAAAGTACAGTCAATAAGTTAGCATTGATAAAGTATTACTACCTGACCTACAGGTCTTACCCAAATTTCACCTTTATAGGAAAAGAAAACTCTTCCTGGTCTATCAGCCAAACCAGAATCAGAAGTTGCGTTTAGTTGTCATTTTAGTCGCCTTTAACATGGCACAGTTTTTCAGTCTTTGTCTTTCATAGCCTTGACATTTGGAAGCATATAGGCCAGTTTCTTAAAAAATGCCCCCAATCTGTTTTTTTTGTTGTTTTGTTTTTTTTTAAAACGTTTCCTCATTATTAGATTCAGGTTATACATTTTTGGCAAAAATACTGCAGAAGTGATGTGTCGTCCGAGAGCATTGTGTTGGGGGCACGTGATAATCTTTTTGTCCAATTACTTTTGATATTAACTTGGATCACTTGGTTGAAGTAGTATCCGCCTGGTTTCACCACCGAAAAGTTATTATTTTTCCCTTTGTAATTAAAAGTATCTTATGGATAGATGCTATGAGACTATGTAAATTTCCTACTTCTCATCAAATTTTCACCCTCTAGTTTTTAGAATCCCGTAATAATTCTTGCCTGGAAGTTATTATTGTGGTGGTGGTTAAATGGTGATTTTCTGATTCTAGCATCCTTCCCACATTTATTAATTGACATTCTACTGAAAGGAAGAACTTTCTCTTCTCCAATTTTTTATTTAATTCATCTATGTATATCAGTATGGATTCATGTATTATATGATTCTATGGGTTATAAATTGTTATAATTTTTTATAGTATAGTTTATGTACAGTAAAATTTTCCCTTTTTAGCCTATTGTTCTACGAGTTTTGATAACCACGTACAATTGTGTAACTACTAACACAATCACAATATAAAATAGTTTCCTCACCCCAGAAAATTTGGTAACCATGTCCATGTCCCTTTGTAGTCAAACTACCCACATTCTCCAACCCCTGGCAGCCATGGAACTGTTTTGTTTTTATTGTTATTTGAACGCTTACTGTTATAAATTTGGCCAGTGGGAGCCCTTCACACTGGCTCCTGTGTCTTTTTGACATATCCTCATCATTCTTTGAGCACCTCCTTACTTTCTGGCACAATAAGCTGTTTCAAGCTCATCTTATACTTTCCCTTCACCACTCACAGAATTAGCCATTTTTCTGAGGAGCACTGGTTTCTTTCAGTAGTGAGTAGATTTAGAAACCAAAATCTGGGCACTAGGTGTGCTTATTGCTACTGTTGTCCCCTCAGCAGAACAGCTAGGAAATAAACATATGTACATATATGCACACATAACAAATTTGGGGTAGTTTGACCACTTCTTTCCTTCTAGACTGCAATTTGCCCTTGAGCCCAAGTAGACCCGCCTAACTTTTACACTGTGGTCATTCTTAAATATTTATCCTCCTTTCCCCCAAAAAAGGAATGCTGGTGGTGCAGTGGTTAAGAGCTACAGCTGCTAGCCAAAAGGTTGGCAGTTTGAATCCACCAGCTACTCCTTGGAAACCCTGTAGAGCAGTTCTACTCGGTACCATAGGGTCGCTATGAGTCAGAACCAACTCGACGGCAATGAATTTTCCCAAAAAAAATGGTTATTTGATTATCTGGAACACATGAACTGGGTCAGGACAACCCAGTAGGTTATCTGTCCTCATTGTGTGTACCTAATTGCAGCCAGATGGCTCATCAGTATGCTCAGCAATCATTGAATCATTGAAAAGGTAGTAGGAATAAAGTGAGCTTCCATATGCTCTTGACTCATGGTTGTTGCATGCCGTATTCTTAAACCAAATTAAGTTTTTTAATCCAGTCCCCCCACACACATGGAATTCTGCTCATAAAAACTCCACTGGAAAATCTTAGACATACTAGCCCAGCACTTGATCCGTTAAACAAATTATTTCCTCTTCCTTATAGCCACAGTTCCTGCCACTTGTTAGACATTCATTGAATAGTTACGTGAGTTATAGCCCTAAATATTGACATTCAAACAATGGGGAATGTATTTTCAATATTTTTTCCTCTTTTGGCTACTTTGTATTCACTTTCTTAACTTTAAATAATACATTTTGGCGTGTGTGTGTGTTTAGACAAAAGTTTACAGCTCAAGTTAATTTCTCGTTCAAAAATTTAATACACATACTGTTTTGTGACATTGGTTGCAATCCCCACAATGTGACAGTATGCTCCCCCTTTCCACCCTGGTTTCCCTGTGTCCATTGTCCAGCTCCTGTCCCTTCCTGCCTTCTCATCCTTCTTTTGGAAAGGAGCTGCCCATTTGTTCTCGTATATTTGATTGAACTAAGAAGGACATTCGTCAGGTGTGTTACTTTTTGTCTTATAGGCCTGTCTAATCTTTGTCTGAAAAGTGAGCTTCAGGAATGGTTTCAATTCTGGGTTAGCAGAATGTCTAAGGGCCATAGTTTCAGGGGTTCCTCCAGTCTCTGTCAGACCAGGAAGTCTGGTCGACGTTTTTATCCTTCTCTGTCCAGGACTTTCCATTGTGATCCCTGTCAGGCCAGTTCTTGCTGGTAGCCAGGCACCATCTAGTTCTTCTGGTCTCAGGCTGGTGGAATCTGTGGTTCATGTAGTTCTTTAGTCCTTTGGGCTAGTATTTTCCTTGTGTCTTTGGTTTTCTTCATTCTCCTTTGCGGCAGGTAGGATGTGACCAGTAGATGTATCTTAATGGCTACTCGCAGGCTTTTAAAACCCCTAAATAATACATTTTTGCTATTTTGATCTATTTTTCAACTGCCGTCAAGATATGTATTAAAATATGTTGTTAACTCAGTCTTACTTTCAGTGGTAGGAGTCCTAAGTAAATTTAGTTGGTGCTTAAGAAAGGGCTTATTAGGCAAAAGGTGATCAGTTTTGAGGTGTCTATGGATTTGCAAAGGAGCCCTAATGGTGCAGTGGTTAAGCGCTCAGCTGCTAATAGAAAGATCAGCAGTTCAAACCCACCAGTAGCTCTGCAGGAGAAAGATGTGACAGTCTGCTTCTGTAAAGATTACAGCCTTGGAAACCCTATGGTTTCCAAGTTCTACTCTGTTCGGTAGGATTGTTCTGAGTTGGAATCGACTCGTTGGCAACAGGTATGAATTTGCCTGGTGTTGGAAGATTTGTAGGTATTTTGTTTCTACACGGATTTGTGTTTCTGGCCTCATGGAAAGTAGTTCACTCTGGTTGCTATAACGATGCATTTGTCCAGGAGTATTTGACATTTTGGTATAAAACTGAAATGTTAAATAAGATGCTAAAAAGGAAAAAAATCCATTTCTATGTCTCAATTTCTTTCAGGTTCTCTCAAGTAGCGCTGCTAGTAGTACCATCACAGCCCTGTCACCTGGAGGAGCACTTATGCAGGGAGGGACACAGCAAGCCATAAACCGTACGTGCTGGGCCACTTCTACTGCTATCAGAGCTCTAAAGAGCAAGTTAGAAGGGGCGCTGAAGGGTTTTTTTGTTTGTTTTTCCTGGGAGTATTTCTGGGATTTTTGTTTTATAGATTTGTTTTTGTACACGTATAGATACTGAAATATATCTAAATAACAGCATAGGTTTCAGAATTGTTCTAATGTTACAAAAAGTTGCATGTTGTTAGTCTAGTTTATCATAGTAATACAGTAATAGCTTTCTTTTTTCCTCCCCTGCCTTTTATAGTAAAGATAAAGGAACCTGAAAGTTCTTCAAAAGTCCCAAGGGATTTTAAATTTTGTGATCTCCCAATCATAGAATCAGTAACTTGTCTCAGACTAGCATATCTTGATTTGGCTTTGGTAAAGGGTGCGTTTCTAGTTTAGTCTCTGAGTGGTCATTTTTTCAGAAAACTATGCACGTGTGAAACTAGCTTTTATCCTATGGACCTCTTCCTTTGCAGAGATGGTGCCAAATGATATTCAGTCTGAATTGAAACATTTGTATGTGGCTGTTGGAGAACTTCTACGGCACTTCTGGTCCTGCTTTCCTGTTAATACGCCATTCCTAGAAGAAAAGGTCAGAGCCAGTTCCAGACAGCTGCCTGTTGTGGGAATGTAAACTGTTGTGTTGTTGTGTGCCGTTGGGTCAATTCCAACTGATTGTGACCTTACACAGCAGAATAGAACTGCCCCATAGGGTTTCCTAGCCTATAATCTTTACAGGAGCAGATCACCAGTCTTCTCTCCTGCAGAGCAACTGGTGGGTTCAAACTGCTGGCCTTTCAGCTAACAGCTGAGCACTTTAACCACTGTGTCACCAGTGCCCCTTTAGTGTAAATTAGTAAGGTGTTGTTTTGAAGTTTCAAAGATATATTGTGTGTTCACCATGGACCTGTCACTGGGATAACTACTTCACGTATATTATTTCACTTAAGCCCCACAGCATCCTTATGAAGTAGGGATTGATTATACCCATTTTATAAATGAGTGATCTGATAGTCCAGACCCATTCTATAACTTAGGATCACAACAGCTTGAAAGTTGAATCTACCTCCAAGCCTCTGGTGGGGATTGAAGAGACAGAAGCCCAAAACAAAGTAACATCAGTAAAGTTATTTACTTGGTTTATTTTTTAAGGGTTGTAAAATTTAAAATGAGGATTGACAATAAATACAGCACTAGCTATTTAACACTAAGACCCTTTTAACCAATAAAACGACGACTGACAAATGGAAAATACGTATAGTATTAATAGTAATAGCTTTACTATATAGATTTTTCTTACAAATGATCTTTAAGAAAAGATAAACACCCCATTAAAAACAATGGGCAAAAGACTTAACAGGCATTTTGCTGAACAATGCAAGTGGCCTAATAAGCCTAAGAGGAAATGTTCAGACTCACTAATATGCAAATAAATTATTTTAGAAGCTACAGTGAGAAAGCTTTTTTCACCTATTAATTTGCAAAAGAATGAAAAACTTAAGATCATCAGTGTTTGCTGAGTTGCTAAGAGTCCTTTCTTACACTGCTAGTAGCACCTTTCTTTCAAGTGCTTTGACTTAGAAATTCATCATTCAGAAATTTACTTCAAGGAAATAGAATGTGTGTAAATATTTAGCCACAGACATGTTCCTCTATCACTGTCTTAGAAATAAAAAAGTGGAAATGACCTGAACACTTCTTAGAAGCAGATTGGTTAAAGAAGTATTTGGTATATGCATACATTGGAATATTATATATCCATTTAAAATGGTAATATAGATTTTTTTTTTTTTAAATAATATTTTATTGAGTTTTTGGTGAAAGTTTACACAGCAAGTTAGGTTTCCATTTAACAGTTTCCACACAAATTGTTCAGTGACATTAGTTATTTACTTGTGTTCAGTTTGTTCCCTCTCCAGTAGTCTATAGCTTCCCTGCCCCCTTATCTTTTCATCTTTGCTTTTGAGTAATTGTTGACCTTTTGGTCTCATATTGATGGTTTTTAAGTAGCGCATCAATTTCACGGGTAATATCCTTTATTTTGTGTGCCACTGTGCTGTTTCACTAAAAGATGATCTCAGGGGCAGGGACGGATTACCCAATAAGCATGTGAAAATGTGAACTACAGATTAGTAAATCAACCCAAGTAAGCCCATGCATACCTTGCTTCCTGTAAGCCTGTGCGTGCCTTGCTTACTGGTTAATCTGCCCCCGCTCAGGAGATAGGCTCAGTTCTAGGTTTAGAGAGTATTTCAGTTTCAGGGCAATAGTCTCAGGGAGTCCTCTGTTCTGTACTGTTCCAGTTTGTCTGGCTTTTTTTTTTTTTTTTTTTAATATAAGAATTTGAGTTCTCCTGAGTACTTTTCTCCCATTCTATTTGGGACCAACTATTGTGACCCTAGTCAGAATGGTCAGTGGTGGTAGCCAGGCACCATCTAGTTCTTCTGGTCTCAGGGTGGGTGAGGTTGTGGCTCATGTATACTTGTTTCTTCTCTGTGTTTTTGGTTATCTTCTTATTGTTTTACTCCTGGTAGGCGAGTAGAGACCCATAGTTCTGTCTTAGATGGCCACTTACAAGCTTTTTAACACCCCAGGTGCTACTCTCTTCACTAGGATGCAGATCGTGATTTTTGTGAACTGTGTTATGCCAATTGCCTGAGTTGTCCCATGAGACTATTGTCCTAAGCCTTCAACCCCAGAAAACCAATGTTGAAAGGTGTTTGGTTATGTCTAGGGAGTATCCATATTTGTGTCTTCAATGAATATATGTGCCTGTACCCACGTAGTTGTATTTACACGTACTTATACTTTATCTGTTTTCACCTATATACACACCTATTCCTACCCATATACCAGTTTGCCTATACCATCCATATGTGCTCAAATACTTGTTTTTACTTTGGTTGTGCTGTGCTCACTATATACACTTTCAGTGCCACTTTTACCATCACCAAAAATAACTAGTCTCTAAAGTATAAAGCGTACTTCTCACACTACCACACTGCCCCCCGTAATCGCCAATGAACATTGGTCTTTCTGTATTTATCTATTCTCATCCTCTTACAAAAGAGGGATCTTAAATATTTGTCCTTATATGTGTGACTTATTTCACTTAGCAATATGCATTCCAGGTCCATCCATGTTATAATATGTTTCACAGAGTCACCATTGTTCTTTATGCTTGAGTAGTATTCTGTTGTATATATGTACCACAGTTTGCTTAGTCATTAGATGAAGATTTATTGACTGAAAGTTGTCCACATTATACTAAGTAAACTTTTAAAATAGTATGTATTGTATTTTTTCTACAAATGTATACATTTTACACATACACAAAAAAATATCTAGGAGGATGTGAGTTTCACACCAAAGTGTTAACAATGAACTCTAAGTGGTAGGATATAGGTATATTTTTATTTTTTTCTTTTTACATTTTAAAAATTTTTTTTGCAGCAACCATGTATTGCTTTGTGATCAAGATTTTTCATTAAAGAAAAAAACCTTTAAATCTACTAGGTATTTGTTTCTCCACCTAGTAAAACCAATTAATGTCCTTTTTTTAAAAAAAAAAAAAAAAGTGATCTTCATATGTAGTCTTGGTCTGTATAGGTTCTTTGAGATTTCTCTATAATCCATATTTCTCTCATCTTTTTCAGGTAGTGAAGATGAAAAGTAATTTGGAACGATTCCAAGTTACAAAGCTCTGCCCATTCCAAGAAAAAATTCGGAGACAGTATTTAAGCACAAATGTAAGGCACAATCTGATTTGGGCCTGATTTTCTTTCTCTGCTTGGTAAAATGATGAAATTAGCTTTGCTTTGGTGTGAATGAGTAGATAATCTGTTTTTTCATGTGCTCAGGATATTGTTTTTTAACTGTAAAATATACATTCAAAAGAGTTTGTAAAATAGGTATGTTTTCTAAATAATTTTTAAAAAATGGTATCTGTGTACCCGCCAATCAGGGTAAGAAATACAGTAGTACCAGTACTCATAGATATTCCGAGTGCCTCTGTCCAATTGCATACCCCTCCCTCCCATCCCCCATGGTTAGTTACTAACCAGACACTTGTGATAACCAGCTCGGTGCTTTTCTTTATAGGTTTACAACCTGTGTATATGCTCCTAAACAATATATTATTTATTTTGAAAAACTGAGTACCAAGCACAAGTCTAGCAGTAGAAGGAAAGGGCAGTATTGCTACTCTGTTACAGTAAGCTGAATAATCTCTGGGTTATAATCTGGTTTCAGCTTCCCTGATTGGTTATAATCAGAAAAGAAGTTTGTAGTGTCTTCCCACAGCAAGGCAAGGATGGCAGATAGGTTTCAGCTCATGTGCTTTCTCAACTGGTTATAACTGCCTGGAGCACTATGTTGAAAGGATCCTGAGGCCGTGTATAGTCTTACAGGAGGATATGGTATTCATCTCTTCTAAATGGTGCTATAGAGCCACTGCTGCCTATCAGGCAAAACAAATAAATTTGATCATTTCCAGACAGACCTAAATTAACACAACCTCGAGATAATGAAACCAGGTATGGTAAATCAGGAATTTTGTTTTTTTGTAATTCTATTCCTCAGTTGGACCTGAGTCACTGACATCCTAAAAAGATTTAGGACTTTTCCTGATTGCTGTCTCAAGAGTCTTCATCAGCTCAGATCAAGTGTGGTCCTTTTCCTTCCATGATGAAAGCAAAATTCTTTTCCACTCACGATTTGTAGTTCTGACCTAAGATGTGACATAGTATTTATTTACATGAAGCATTGGAGCAGTTTAGATTTTTTGTAACCTATTGAGTTACACTGAAATCCTGAAATATTGGAGCTGGAAAAGACCCTAGAGAACATAGAAAAGTGCTTCACAAAATTGGCTATACATCAGAATTAACTGCTGGAACTTTTGAAAATTGAAGATTCCTGGGTCTCATCCCAGACTTGCTGCATCAGAAGCTTTAGAGGAGTGAGTCATTTTTTGAATGTTCTGTAAGATAATGTTGATGCCACTATCTGGCCTTAGTTGGCAGAATAGCATTTAAATCTAGAAATCACCAATCTGTTTCAGCCCCTTCATTTGGCCGGAGACTGGGCCGTACTAGAGCACGGTTATGACTTTCATACTGTCCTGTAGCTGGTTAGTGATAGAGTGGACAGACACTACAGCCCAGACAGGTGAATTTTCAGCCTCTCTAAAGCACCCCACCACTTCTTCCTTTCTGTACAGAATGTGTCTTGATAGGCCTTCACAGAGGGCTTGCACATTGCCTCCTTGATTGGGGAAATACAAATGAGCTTGGAGACTATACTCTGAAGTATGTGCTAGATTTGGGTTAGAAGCATTAACTTCCCCAGCCTTCACCCAGTTGTTGCTGAAGTGTCTTTCTGTGTTTTTCAGTTGGTAAGTCACATAGAAGAGATGCTCCAGACAGCCTACAACAAGCTCCACACGTGGCAGTCCCGACGCATGATGAAGAAAACGTGAAGTGCCCGTGGCTGTCAAAGTTTTGTGAGATTGAAAGAACTGTGATCTGCAGTAACTCTGGAAACCTGACCTGACGATTGTGCAGATCATCATACAGAAGTTACAGGAAACATCTGCATCATGTGGACTTCTGGAGCTGATGCATGTTGTACTTGCACATTGTGAAGTGAGAGGAAGAAAGGGACTTTGATTAAACTAAAAGCGGGGGAGGTAAATTAAGGTGGAACCAAAATGAGCTAAGTTGCAAATATATATAAATATATATATATTTAAAAAGACACTGTTTACTGCAGTTACTCAGGAACTGCTTTTGATTCACATTAAGCTGCTTTCAGAAATTTAAAAAAAAAACAAAACTTTTTTAAAGGGTGCATTGATAAAAATCTGAGGGTTTTTTTTTTTTTCTTCATCTGTAAATGTTTTTCCTAAGTTTATGGCACAGGGTAGATATTAAGTATTTCTCCTCCATCCTCCACTTGGATCCTCCAGTTTTACTAAATTGTAGTTGTACCTTACATCAGCAAGTTAAAGAGAATATTTTAAAGTAAAGCAGAGGGAGACTGTTGCTCAGCCATCAGGAAACAGTTGTAGTCAGAAGACATCTTTGGTCCTGTGTTTCCTACGGAAATAAGAAACAATAAATATTGCACTGAATGTTTGTCGTTTGGGGTCCCTATATGATAGAGAGGGAACATATTGCAGAAGGTTGCGTGGGGTTTTTTATGCAGAATTTTGTCAGAAGATAATGGCGCTGCATGTTTTTCTTTGAGTGCAAATGTACATTGCTAAGATTTTTTTTTAAGACGGCATGTGCTTTGAAGAGAGGAAAATGCATTTTTAAGAGTTTAAAAATCTTATGAGTGAGAAATATAAGAAAGCTTACTTATTTTCACCTCTTTAGAAGAAATAAAAGATGTTTCTCATATCTCCTTTTCTCCAGTCTCTGTCTGACTGTTAACTGTCTCTGGCGAATCGATAATCAATGCATAGTGACTGAAACGCCTAACTGCAAAAACAAAAAAAGATATGCTATATTTTGTGGATTCTGTGCCATATTTTGTTCTAATAATATCAACTGTTTTATCTCAGACTTTAGATGTCTTATATTAAAAACTACACAAAAAAGTAAAACTTTTATAGCTAATCTTTCTAACTGTAACACATCTTGTGGTTTCTCATTATGTGTGATATTTACTTGGATGGGCTACTCATTCTTTTTTAAAACCTTTTTTACAAGTTGGTGGTGGTGGTCGTTGGGTTCTGTCCAGTCCGTTCTGTCCCATATATAACAGAACAAAATACTGCCTGGTCCTGTGCTATCCTCACAGTTGTTGCTGTCTTTGAGCCCATTGTTGCAGCCATTGTGTCAACCCATCTAATTGAGGGTCTTTCTCTTTTTTCACTGACTTTACCAAAAGTGATGTCCCCCTGGAGGGACTGGTCCCTTCTGATAACATGTCCAAAGTACATGAGATGCTTCCAAGGAGCACTCTGGCTGTACTTCTTCCAAGACAGACTTATTCATTCTTCTGGCAGTCCATGGTATATTCAGTATTCTTTGCCAACACCATAATTCAAAGGCGTCAGTTCTTCTTGGGTCTTCCTTATTCATTGTCCAGCTTTCACATGTATATGAGGCGATTGAAAATACCATGGCTTGGGTCAGACATACGTTAGTCCTCAAAGTGACATCTTGCTTTTGAACACTTTAAAGAGATCTTTTGTAGCAGATTTGCCTGATGCAGTATGTCATTTGATTTCTTGAATGCTGCTTTCTTTCATATAATGGCTACAACAACTCAAAAACCTGTTCAAACCTTCAGCTAGTAAAAAGAAAGAAAGGTAGCATCACTTTCTGCCTTCAGTCTTCCCATTTCTCCTTCAGATCACTATAGTAATACTGTAATCACTTATGTTTACATATCACATTACAGTTTTACACAGTGCTTTTCAAATGCATTATTTCATCACCATAACAGCAATGGAGCAGAAAGAAAAATGTTTGGAATAAAAGTATAGTCAATTGGGAAAGACAGATGTAAGCAAATAAAATGCTGTGTTGAGTGCTGTGTTAAAGTGATAAATACAATGACACCCAAAGGATGAAAGACAGTTTTCAGGAATTGGAGAAGTCTTCACTAAAGAGGTAACATTTCAGCTAAGCCTTAAAGGTTGAATAAGAGTTTGCTGAATTGAGAAGAAACAGTTGTTCGATGTAGGTGGAGGGAGCAGCATGATGAAGGTATGAGGGCTTGGAAGACTCCAGGGTGCTAGGAAAACAAGAATTTGTTAGATTGGAGGGTTTGGGAGTGAAAAGTGAAAAGACCGGAAAAAGTAATTTATTGTGAATGACTTTGTATGCCCAAGTGTAAAAAATTCAGACCTTTCCCATTAGGCATGTGAGCCAGGAGAAATTTTTGAGTGGGTGGTTTTTGTGGTTTTGTTTTTTTTAAATTAACAGCTAGAGAACCAGAAACCAGAATGCTTTTAGAATATGTAATCCAGACTGGAATCCAGGTCCAAATTAAATAGGATCCTGGTAAATAGAAGGGAGGTGACTGAGTAAAGATACTCCTAAACTAGGAGGTTTGTGTGTGACCAAGTCTCAGGAAGTGAAGAAATCAAGGGTGATCTCACCAGAGATGGCTCTTAATTCTTTCTCTAGCTTGCATTTGAAATAGTTGATCCTGGAAGTCTTAAAAATGAGCTTTGGAAGCCTTATTGGCCTACTGTGACCCCATCTTCCGCTTGTGGAAAATGATAGCTGCTGGTGATTGAGGGCTACTATGAACCAGGCCTGTGCCAAGCACTTTTCCTGCTAATCTCACTTCATTCTCACAATTACCAGTGAGGCCGGTAGGTACTACAGAATTATTTTACAGATTGGAAATGGGTTTAGAGGTTAAGTAACTTGCTCAAATTCACACAGCCAGTAAGTGGCAGAGCTGGGATTTTACCTAAACTATGATGTTTGTGAAATTGGAAGCTTTTGTTCCCCAGCCAGTAGTTACATTGCCTGGTTTTTGCTTCGACTGCTCTGTCATTCTAGCCTCTGATTTTATTTGTGCTTCATTTGTGGCAAATCACATTATGGGATTATTCTGCCTAGTGGGTTCCATTAACCCAGAGGGCTGCAAAATATAATAATGAAAGCATTTTCTACCCTTTAGAGAATGAGTTTCTTCTGGAAAGGAGCACAGAGTTGATAGTGCTACTCAGCTTTGTACTTGCCCCATATTACGGATCAAATTGCATCCCCAAAAAATAAGTTGCAAATCCTAACCCCTGTACATGCAGTTGGAAGAGCCCTGGTGGTGCAGTGATTAATCATTCAGCTGCTAACCAGAAGGTCAGGGTTCAACCCATCAGCTGCTACACAGGAGAAAGATGTGGCAGTCTGCTTCTGTAAAGATTTACAGCCTTGGAAACCCTATGGGGCAGTTTTCCTCTGTCCTATAGGTTTGCTATGAGTTGGAACCAACTCTAAGGCACGTAACAACAACATAGGGTCACAATGAGTCAGAATCACTCAATGGCAACGGGTTTTATATCTGTGGTTATAATCCATTTGGGAATGGTTTTCTTTGTCAGGGAGGCACCAAGCAGAGATGGGGGAAGATGGATGCCACACCACATGAAGATCACCAGAGAACCAAGAAACAAGGACCTTCCCCCAGAGGCGACAGAGAGAGAAAGCCTTCCCCTAGAGCCAGAGCCCTGAATTCGAACTACTAGCCTCCTAAACTCTGAGAAAATAAGTTTCTATTTGTTAAAGCCACCCTCTCGTATTTGTTATAACAGCAGTAGGTAACTAAGACACCCTGCAAAAGGAGTAGGTTATCCACTTCAGTCTGGAAAACAAAAGAATGTTTTAACATCTGTACCTAGATAGGTAGCCCACTCATCCAGGCTAAGGGTTTAATCCAGGAAGTGGTTTTCTGTTGGTGAACACACCCTCTGGAGCGGTGGAAAGCTGCCCATTGTAGACTTAGATTTGCTGGCTCTAGTGTCAGTACTTGACCGGGATTCCTTGGTGCATTACCTCTGCCCTTTCCCAGTTTAGCTCCTTCAAGACTCAGCTGTTCTCCCAGTTCCTGAGGCCAGGGGAGCCTTGGTTATTTTCGGCTCTTAAATTGTCCAAAACTGGAGCATTGCCTAGAACCTGGTTCAGGGGTGATCGGCCTTAGTTTGTAGACCGTATCCTCATTTGGACATGTAAAGTTATAAAGAAGCTTTGGAAAAAACTTTTTGTAACTGCAGGACCCTGTTTTCATACAGTCTTTCACAGAATCACTAATACATATGACAAAAGTGAAATTGTACCACTTGAGGTCAGGCCAGAGATCCAGCTCCTCCCACCTCCCAACAGAATACAGCATCTATCGGGCAATCCGCTGTGTTTGTTGGAAGTAATCTGGAGTATAAGATAAATTCTGGCTTATACTATACTTTTCTCTGGTCACAGAAATAAACATAACAAGATGATAGACAAATCCAACTGTATCGGCAACTGCACTAAATGTAAACAAAGAGAACAAGCTAAAAAACAGATTGTCAGATTAGATTAAAAAACAAGATTCAACTATATGCTATTTATAATTACAGAAATATGTACACCTCCCTTGACTTGCCCTCCCATCTGGGTCATTAGTGTGTTAGGAGTTCACAGGCCTTTATTACTCTAACATTGATTTCTCTCTGGTTCTGATCTTGCAGCTAAGTGCCTGGCACAAAGTAAGCATTCACTAAATGTTCTTCCTATCATTTATTACTATTATTTACCTTTATCAGGTGTGATGATTAAAGTTATGTGTCAACTTGGCTAGGCCATGATTCTCAGTGGTTTGGCAGATATTATGTAATCATACTCCCTTTTGTGATCTAATGTGAGCAACCAATGAGTTGAAAACAGAGTTTCATTGGGGGTGTGGCTAGCATCCAATACATATGGATGTTCTGGCAAACCTTGCTGTCTCTCAATCCTGCAATCGGCTTGTCATCCTCTGACTTCTGGGTCTTGAGACATGAGCCAGCAGTCTGCCATCTGACCTGTAGATTTTGGGATTCACCAGCTACTGCAGCCCTGTAAGCCAACAACCTGCCATCTGACCTACTGATTTTGGGTTTATCAGCCCCTGCAACCGTGTAGAGTCAGGAGAAGGCTCCAGCCTGACACCTGACCCATGGATTTGGGACTTGCCAGCCTCCACAACTGCATGAGCCATTTCCTTGAAAGAAAACTCTCTATATATTTGTATATATACGCTTCATTGGTTTTGCACCTCTAGAGCACCCAGTCTAAGACATTTGGTGCCAAGAGTGGTTCTAGATGAACAAAATCTTAAGGATGAGTTTTCTAAATTGATTATCAAGTCTGGCCAGTCTTAAAGGTGCTGATGACTCTGCCTCCAGTAGTGAAGAAGGCACTGCTAATCCATGGTGAGAAGTGACGATAGAAATACACAAAACATCAACACCAATGGATCAAATATTTGTGAGAGACAAGGCTCTTAGTAATTGTGTATTTGATACTTTCCTACAATTTTGTTGGAATGAGAAGTATAAGGAAGCAGATTAGTTGGTCCTACTTTTGCTAGACAAACTGGCGAAAGAAAGGGATGACCTCGAAGCTTCAGAGTCACATCTAAAACGCTGCATGTTTTTAGGTGCTGTCAAACTGGTTCCAACTCATAGCGACCCTATGTACAATAAAACAAAATACTGCCTGGTCCTGTGCCATCCTCAAAATTGTTGTTATGTTTGAGTCCATTGTTGCAGCCACTGTGTCAATCTATCGCATTGAGGGTCTTCCTCTTTTTCACTGACCCTCTACTTTACCAAGTATGATGTCCTTCTCCAGGGACCAGTCCCTCCTGATAACATGTCCGAAGTATGTGAGGCGAAGTCTCACCATCCTCACTTTTAAGGAGCATTCTAGTTATACTTTTTCCAGGACAGATGTATTCATTCTTCTGGCTGTCCATGGTATATTCAATATTCTTCGCCAACACCATAATTCAAAGGCATCAATTCTTCTTCGGTCTTCCATATTCACCATCCAGCTTTCACATGCATGTGAGGTGCTTGAAAAATACCATGGCTTGGGTCAGGCATGT